TAACTACGTGTGTAGGCGTGAAAATTATGATAAAAATCGAGGAAATTCTCAGTAGTTTCTGTACATTTTTCCCAAATTCGTAAATGTAAACTTCTATAATTAGTGAGAAACCTGTGAACTCAGCTGAGGAGAGCGAAAATTTCCTGCGTGAAGTTCCAACACTACTTTACATGGAGTATTCAATATTCCATGAAAACTATAGCAAGTGTATGTTTTCACGACGGATAACACAATTGTTGCCCGAGATGCGAATTGTAAAATATGTTTCTCATCATCGTTCTTTTTATCACAGATAAAACTCTGATATGATGGAGTTCACCACCCGCTTTGCGTTATGTGGCGTAAAAATCGGTGAAAAACGCGGAATTCACGGTTTCAGTAGTCGTGAAATATGTTTTTCACTAGTGATTTCCATATCACTAGGGTGGTAAAACTCCATTAATAACTATATGACCGCAAGGAGCCTACCTCCCGTTGATGCATTCACTGCGCCGTTACAAGTCTCAACCCCCGTATATCTAACCGCAGAAGTTCCTATGTCAATGACAATAACGTAGCTACGACCAGCACCGAAAGCCTATGTGGCACGTAGGCGATCAAACAAGTTTTTTGATAGAATTAAGGTGAAATTTCGTTGATCGAAATTAGTCTTTTTTTCCGAATTCGTCAATGCGGTTTACGAATTCAAACTTGCATTTCCGAGCGGTCTACAAAATCCGAACTTTCATTTCGAATTTCAACTTTCATTCCGTGAAAGTTAAAACTCTTTTGATGTTATGGAAATCAAATTTAATTTTTTTCTATTTTATTCGCTGAATTTGATATCTAAAAGATATCGCAAAAGTGGAGTAAACTCTGTGAAATCGCGATGATATGCAGTAGTCGTGAAATATGTTTTCCTCTAGTGTTTTTCATATCACGGCTCGTGAAACTCCACTGATAAAGTCTCCCGTTGGTGACACGCATCGGCGTCGGAGTTTGATATTCCATGAAACTCCATTATAATGCTAAGACGCCTACTTAGAGCTTGCCAGAGCAACAGCAGTGTGAAGGGCCTCTACAGGGGTGAGGAAGGCCATTATAGCCACCCAAGTGTCAGGGCACATATCAGCCATAGCACGCTCGAGATTAGTGACAATCTGGGAAGTGGGGGCGTTGGCACTGCTCGGGTGAGATCGACTAGAGGGGGATGGGAGACCTATGGTGAGGGCAGAATAGAATCAGTATAAATTTGGATATGCAAATGAGAAAAAAATATGCGGAATTTTCCGAAATTAATGAGTTTCACCACCCTAGTGATATGAAAAATACTAGTGAAAAATATATTTCACGACTACTGCATATCACCGCGAATGTCGCGTTTTTCACAGAGTTTTACGCCACTTCGCGTAAAAGGGATCGTGAAACTTTAACGAGAATCGACCTCAAAATAGAGTTCCTTATTGTCACCAACACACGTAGATAACCATGTGTATATTTTCCAACACTGTTCATTCGTCGTTATAAAACCAATATCATCTTCAGACGGAATTATGGTTTACAGTACTGACTACAGCTACGATCAGTTCTTCGGGAGATATTACATCCATTGGATGCTCCCATAAGACTCCTTTTTAATCGCCGCTCTCGACGAGACGTGAACAAGGCAGCGAAGTGGTTCCATAACGCGGCGCTGGACTCGCCTGAAATCAGTGGAGTTTCACCACCCTAGTGATAATACATTTCACGACTACTGCATATTACCGCGAATATCGCGTTTTTTACCGAGTTTTACGTCACTTCACGGGTGAAACTCCAGTTTTTGGGAGGAATATATGTTCGCTTTCCTCAGCTGAGCGTAGGAGTTTCCTCACTAATTATAGGAGTTTGTGTATACGAATTTGGGTAGAAATGTACAGAAAGCAATGAAAATTTCCAAAATTTCTCTCATAACTTTTATCATCATATGTGTATGTTTTCCCACACATGCATTACCACCATCACGCGCCCACACGATTTTCTTATCGTATTCCACAAACTAATGGAAGACAGATCAGCAACATCA